TCATTTATTTATTTTTCGTGTTCCCTCGACATTTTACCAGCATGAAAATAAAATTTCCCTTCAAAACAGCAAAGAGTCGTACGCCTGTCCAAAAATAATTAGTAGTTCGCCTGGCCTGCTGCTTTCCTCAGGGAAAAATGATCTTCAACAAATTGTTCAGATGTGCAGACGTTTCTCCCGCGGAATAAACTGAGCCTGCAGGCACGTTATTGTGAAACCCACATTTCTTTTCTGTTCTTTGAAGAAACAAAATGGCGGGCATAAAAGTCGCCTCCGCTCTAAAGTTACTGCGTCCAAATCTTCCCTAGAAGTGGGCTGAACCCTTTGCAGCAATAACTTTTCTCGTTGTCCTGAAGTCCACTTTCTTGAACATTGAAAATCTTCCCTCGTCTTGTGCCAAGAGGCAATTCTGCGTGACCTTCCTGAACAGGACACAGAAGGGTTTGATCTCCGTCTTGTCCATGTCCAGTGTCCCAGCTAGCCGACGTTTCCTCAGTCACTTCTAGATTTACTTTACTTTTTAAAATAGCAGTGTCCTCCTGCTTTAGCGAAAGAACTGTCTGCATAAATTCTCTGCGATCTAGCATTTTCTTGTAGGAGCAAATCCATTTCCGCTTAACGATGATGGCAGCGGCTCCCCGCCTATTTCCACGCGCGGTATCACCTTTCGAATTAAAAAGAAAAACGCTTGATAATTGAAGGCAGTGACGGAAATATGGTTTTCGGCAATCGATCGAATTCTAATTGAGCCACAGATCACGAGCGGTGAGTCGGCAGGGACTCGAGGGAAGTGGTCGCGGCGTATTTCAGCATTCACCTGGAGATACTGAACACACTGCCGAAATATGTTAGGATAATCGACAACATCGCCATGGTGGTCTAGCGGTTAGAACGATGGCCTTGTAATCTTGGGGTCTCGGGTTCGATTCCCGGCGGTGCCCGAATTTATAACTTGTGTTGGGCAAGGCCGTGGTCTAGGCAACACGGAGTTTTCCTCCGTGGCATCCCAACAATTACTCCATTCACACACAGAAGAAGGCAATGGCAAACCACTTCTGGATCATCTGCCAAGAACGCATATGAACAGGTCCCAGTCCGAGAAAAGGATGGAAGGATCCTGTTCATATGGACCTGTCGTCAGACAGAACACTAAATAAATATAAATAATCGACAAAATGGCCGATATTCGAACTGATTGATACAAGTCTCGATGGATGGCAATGTGACACACTGTATCGGGGGTCCAGTCCCGCAGTTGATTGAGCGTCGTTCCAACTCATCGCGTTGCTACTTTGCGTTGCCTGAAGGCCAGTTCGACACTGCTCCAGCTCCCTAATTGGTTACGTGGAGTTTTACTCGGGGCCCACTCGCTACTGAGTCCCCCCCCAGGGGCGGGGGGGGGGGGGGGAGGAGATGCGGGCTCAAAGCAAAGACGTACACACAGTGCATCAGCAACTGGCAAACCTCACGGCCAGGTCAGGGGACTGAAGAAAACCACGGCAAGCAACAGACAGTTCGAACGCCACAACCCTTGACGAAGCGGTGACTGGAAAAGACCACGTTCTCTGTCCGCCACTACCCTTTAAACCCATTAGCAGGGGAAACTACATTAACGCGGTGCTGCAGACTTGTCCCCCATTTGAGCGGTAAGTCGGGCTAATGCGTAAGAATTAAAAACCGATTTGTTATAGTAATTACCGGGATTACTACTGCTGTGTTCCTTTTTAAAAAATAAACATAAACCTCGAAGCCATATTTACGCTGCGCTGCGCTGCGTGCTAATACCCGAAAAAAACAGAGGAACGGTCTTCAGCGCGCCGGTGAAGCAGCGAGCAACGCGCCACAGCGATAAAACAATTGAATGTGTGTTTGAGAATCATTCTCGTATGTATCGAGAGTAACAATCGATATTAAAGTCGAGAAGCAAGCCGGAGTCGCAGGGCGGTGGGGCTGGTTTTAAACTAAATAAACATCCCCTTCTGTGCTCCCCCTGATAGCGTCTACCCCATCTCGGAGCGTCATGAATAAGGAATGATTATATTTATGATGCAGCGGGAGGTCTGGAAGTAAGTCATCACTGCCGCGGGCCGGGGTTCGTGTACAAATGGCGTTCTTCGCTGTTAGCGGAGTTTAATATTCCGTCGCAAACAAATTGGAACTTCAAGCAGAAAGACTCGAATTTCGACGAATATTTCGCAAGTACAGGATCTTCAAGAATGCGCGGAATTAAAGTTCCCTCTACGCTCCCCTGTTACTCACGTCTCAGTGCTGCTCGTTCAGAACGCGAGACAGGGCTATGTAACAGTTCTGAATGCGATAACGATGGACGCAGTCGGATCCAAGGGCGTCCTTTGTGAGAACGGTTTCTGGCTCCTCGTAACGATCTCCGAACTGCACAGCTTCCATGACGTCGGTGAACAACGACGCTGAAAGACGTGGCCATGACCCATTTTAAGCTCCTAGAAGATTCGAATAAAATCTCGGGTCAGCGGGACCAAAAATCGAAACCGTGACCTCTCAAATTCGAAGCCCTCGGCCGATGCATGTCGCTTCCTGGAGTGTTCCCAAGTAAACCCGGCCTGTTTAGTGCAAATCCCGGAGGATATAACCAGGAACACTGCCCGAGGGTTTCCGGGGTAACAGGACCAACTGCGCCCTTCTAAATCCTTGTCATTTCACGAAAAGTAGTCACAGCTCATTTGACGCTAATATCAAAGAATCTAATAAGCAATGGCACTGGATACAAACCTAAGCCAGCTGAGTCTTGTTTATACTTTACAGATGTCAAAGATTGAGTTCAATATTATTCTCCGTGTTCTTCTGTCGTGTTTTTCCTTTGACAATGAAAACAGCTGCATCTCCTTTCTTTCCGACAATCCCATCGTAACCTCTGGTCACAGGGTGACCTACACGGCTAATGTTTATGCGAGTTTCTTCAAGTTTCACTTGACATCACGAAATGACGAAGTGGGAGAATTCAAATTTTGCTCGTATCGTTAGAATCCTAGAAACAGACGGCAGCTTCACTTACGAAAAGATGAGCCTTGCACTGCGGGGCAGAAGTGCGTAGTGCCACAACACATGGGACACGTGGGGTTTATAAAATACATTTCTAGCGGGGGGGGGGGAGGTGCGTCTTTCAGAAACAAATACTAAGGACTTTACCTACTTTGCTTTGAATGCTTCCATACTACATTTATGAAATTGTAATTATACGTCTTTATGCTTTTGAATTTCGTGACAATCTGCCTAAAGTTCACATACACACAGCATCACTCTTCTAAATATAAGGTTAGGCCCCGCCACGGGGCACGAAGATGTGCGCGGACTCCAGACTAAGGCACTAAAACACAAAACTTGCGAAACGGGAATCTGGCCACATCTGCGACACACACGGCAAAAGAACCCCTCCTGCCGAGATGAATGTTAAAGAGAAAACATTTCCATTTGTGACACGCGACTCGGCTTAAAGATTCACGAGGCGAGATGTTTCGATTCGCTGTACTTCGAAAAATATTAAAGAAATAAACAAATGAATATTTTACATAGCGCTGAGTACAGTCGGTACTAATTAAAGTGGCACTGCGCTGTATCGTACTTACTTCTTCAGTCAGTATCTCGAAACGCAATATACCGCCATCTCCGTCTCTCGATCACTGATTCACGGTCTCATTCGAAAAAACCCACTCGCCCAAACGACCAACCTCTGTCTACCTCCGTCACTGGTCCTCGTCTCTGGATGACGTAACAGCACGCGGCTCGTGGTTGTCGTGTTTCACTAAGAGACGTTTCTTTCAGCGAGGATATCAACTTTTCGAGGCAAAAGTATTGGACTTCGCTCCGACCTCGAAAATAATACGTCGAGTAAGCAGGCACATTCACGTGTTGTCGCCATCCAAGACGACAAGGTCTCGGCCTAGGGTCTGTCCCGTCCGGGCGTCCTGTCGTCGGGATGTGACTCATAACGTGTCCAGCGAGTTTAACTTAAAGAAAATTTGTTTCTAATCATCCTGTTTATGATTTGACCTTCTAATGTACAGAATGACCCGAAACGTTGTACACATAATTCTGAATGTGTATACATCTTTTTGGGACACTGTACATCCAGCCATTATTTATGAGGATGTTCATTTCTGCCCCTTGTTCATTGATGTCAATATTTCCATTCTGAATTTTATAAAATTGTGTTTGTACGTCCTTCTTATTACCCCACACGAACCATTAATTTCTCTTAATTCTTTCCCTCGTCCCACATCTTAATCGTCAAAGAGGATAGAAGTAATTAACCTGCTCAGTAATGTTATCGTTTATATTAACTATCAGACGAGTCTAAAAAGACGGTGGATCTTGGTACCCAAATTTACACGTTTACGTAAAGAACGCCTGTAGCGAGACCCGCAGCGGAACAGACTGTAGCAAGGACACCGTCTTTCATTTTTTACCTCGTGTTTTTGAAAAACGTTTTAAGTGAAAAGCAGCAGCTGAGTGGATCCTCTTAGCAAATTAGTGCGGGGGCTCGCTCGTCTTCCTAAGACGGTTACTGCGCCTGCCAACTTAGCGTTGCTGTCCGCAATTTATTCACATTACGCTGATTATCACAACAAACTTCTTTTCATTTCTTCCGAGAGGAATAACACAAAACAAACGACAGTCGGAAATAAGAAAGAATCGTTAAAAAAAATTAAGGGGTGTCAGACGAAGGTTCGTGAAGAAAGACGCCTCCTTTCCTTGGTCTCAGTTAAGATTCGAACCGAAGACCTTCCTAACCCGCGAACCTCAGAGCAGAGAGCCGAACGCCCTGTTTTCAGAATTGTGTAAACCATTTTAAGGGATTTCCCCTCCCCCCCACCTCGTCTTCGCTCACTGACAAATTTGATATGCGGATGTCAAGTTCTGTTGAGTCAACGAGTATAAAATACGTACGAGAAAACAGAGGAAGTGACGTTGATCCTGTCGTGCGTACAGCTACTTCCGATAACATCTGTTTTCTCTTGTTTCAGTGGTGGATTCAGGCCGGTGCTGGAGACAGGTGGCGCTCCCCGGGTCACACCGCCGATCTTCTTCCCGT